TAACATTTTCTACTGATCCTTAGGAGAAATAGGAAATGTCTGACCTCATACAGTAACCTCCGTTCTCAGATTTGCAAGTACTGAATTGGTGTTAAGAACCAACTCGGGACACATTATTAACTGCTTCACTATAGCACAAAACAAATAACACCAAATAAAATTTTACTTCAAGCACAAATCTAATTTTTGTAAAGATTATATGTTAATGAAGAAAACCGTTTTATGCCACTCATCCACTGAAAAATCACTTCTTTCAGATCATTCACTTACTTTTATGCACATCTAGCATGAAGCCATGAAAATGAGCCCGTTTTTTCCTCTTCACTTCCACATGAGCATAAAACATGTCCATCACCATTGTTTTTCCTGTACCTTAAAAATAAAAAAAATAATACTATTGAATAGTATGCACTGATTGCTGTAATGATTGTTCATTAGCTTTGAGATAATGAAACCATACTCTTTCACTGGAAAGCCATTTTGCTTTTTTAGAAGAGGGTATTTATATGTTAAGCTAGCTAAAAATAAAATGTCAATAGTACTCTTTTCTGTTAAAATCTTGTTTTTAGAAAATACAACATTTAGTTAACATTACAAGGTCTAGTTACCCATAGAGAACTGTGCGTATACTGACCAGATTTACAATATTATTTATTCTTCAATCTTCTCTTTCAAAAGATACTCTAACATAAATAAAATAACTTAATTAAATAAATATGTACAGGGTCATTACTATGCCCAAGAAACTATCTCAGGCATTATGGGAAAACTCAAAAATAATAAATAAAAAAATTAAGAGAAGAACAGTGAAAAATAAAGATTAGCATCTAACATAAATACTGAAGATGAATTGTATGTTTAGATTAAAGCTGGAGAATTGCCAACTTTAACATTTCTATTTTTTAAAAAGTTGACAATGTAGGTCTTTAAAAATGAGGCCTACTTAATGAAATTCTCATGCCTAATCCTTATAATTAAATTATATAATTTTCAACACGCTGAAACTTAATCACTGCCATTGCATTAGTACAGTAGTCCCTCATAGACAAGGTTTCAGTACCTGAGGTTCATGGTTAACCACAGTCCCAATATTAAATGATCTAAGCTAATCATAAGAAAGCTGGGGTAATTACATTAATGAGACAAACTTTAGGACAAGAAATATTATGAAAGGTAAAAAAATATATTAATAAGAAGATTAATTCATTTTCCAAGGGGACTAATATCTAGATATCAGGAATTCAAAGAACTCAAAAAACAAACAAAGTAAGGCCAAGCACGGTGGCTCATGGCTATAATCCTAGCACTCTGGGAGGCCGAGGCAAGTGGATTACCTGAACTCAGGAATTCCAGACCAGCCTAAGCAACAGTGAGACCCTGTCTCTAAAAATAGCTAGGTGTTATGGCAGACATTGTGGTCCCAGTTACTCAGGAGGCAAAGGCAAGAGGGTGGCTTGAGCCCAAGAGTTTGAGGTTATTGTGAGCTGTAACACCACAGCACTCTACCAAGGAAGAGACTCTGTGTCTACCAAAGTGAGACTCTGTCTCAGAAAAAAATAAAGAAAAGAAATAAAAGCACTCAAGAAATACAACAAAGTGACTATGATTAACAACTATAAGTTATGGTTACTGAAAAATAACTAAAAGAGTGGAATTGGGATGTTCCTAAAACAAAGAAATGATAAATAAAATGCCTGAAGCGATGGATACTCCAATTTCTCTGATTTGATTTATATACATTGCATGCCTGTATCAAAATGTCACATGTACCCCATAAATACTAGTATGTACCCATAATACTTAAAAATAAAAAGCTTTTTAATATAAAGAAATAAATACAATGAGAAAATAAATAATCCCGTTAAAAAGCAGGCAAAGGACACAAATAAACATTTTCTTCATTTTTAACTTATATTTTATTGAAGTAAAGTACACCTATATAATTTGTCATCTGTCCCATTTTTTAAGTATAGAGTTCAGTATTAATAAATACATTTACACACACACACATATATATATACGTTTCCCCCCCTTTATCTTTCTGTCCTCCTTCCAATTTCCAGCCTCTGGCATCCACCAACCTGCTAACTATCTCCATGAGATCCACTTTTTTAACTCTCACATAAGAATGAGAACATGAGATACCCTTCTGTGCTTGACTTATTTTCCTTAACATAATGGCCTCAGTTACACCCATATTGCTACAATGACAGGATTTCATTCTTTTCTATGGCTGAATAACATCCCGTTATGCATATATACCACGTTCTCTTTTGGTGGACACTTAGGTTGATTCAGTATCTTGGCCACTGTGAATAGTGCTGCAGTAAACATGGCAGTGCAGATGTCTCTTTGATATATTTATTTCTAGAAACGAACATTTCATGAAAGAACACACACAGACGGCCAACAGGTAGATGAAAAAATGCCCAGCATTACTAATCATCAGGGAAATGTAAATCAAAACCACCGTGAGATCTCCTCACTCCAGTTAGAATGAGGATTACTATGACTAAAAAGGCAAAATATAACAGATGTTGGTGGAAACTCCTAATACATTATTGGTGAGAATGTAAATTAGTACAGCCATTATGAAAAACAGTATGGTGTTTTCTCAAAAAACTAAAATTAGAACTACCATATGATCCTGCGTTCCCACTTCTGGGTATCTAGAAGGAAATCAGCATATCATAGAGATACTTGCACCCCCATGTTTACTGTAGCACTATTCACAATAGTAAAGATAGGGAATCAACCTAAGTTGTCCATCAACAGAAAATTTGGGGCTGAGCACGGTATCTCACACCTGTAATCCTAAAGCTCTAGGAGTGTTTAATAGGATTATATATTTACCTTATGAAAGGTGAGTAGATTGCTTGAGCTTAGGAGTTTGAGACCGGCCTGAGTAAGAGTGAGACCCCATCTCTACAAAAAATAGAAAAACCTAGCAGAGCACTGTGGTGGGCACCTGTAGTCCTAGCTACTCAGGAAGCTGAGGCAAGAGGATCACTTGAACCCAGGAGTGTGAGGTCGCTGTGAGCTATGATGCCAGGGCACCCTACCCAGGGCGACAGAGACTGTGCCTCAAAAAAAATTTTTTGGTATATCTGCACAGTGGAATTCTCTTCAGCTATAAAAAATGCAATTCTGTCATTTGTAGCAACACGGATGAATCTGGAACACATTATGCTAAGCGAAATAAACCAGACACAGAAAGATCAACATCATACGTTTTCACTCATATGTGGGAGCTAAAAAAAAGTTGATCTCATGAAGGTAAAGATACCAGATTGACAGAGTCATAGATACCAGAGGCCAAGAAGGAAGGTATGAAGAGAGTTTGGTTAATAAGTACACGCACAGGCTCGGCGCCTGTAGCTCAGCCACTAGGGCACCAGCCACATACACTGGATCTGGTGGGTTTGAATCTAGCATGGGCCTGCCAAACAACAATGACAACTACAACCAAAAAATAGCCAGGCACAGGCAGCACCTGTGGCTCAGTGGGTAGGGTGCCAGCTCTATATACTGAGGGTGGCGGGTTCAAACCCCACCACAGCCAAAACTGCAACAAAAAGTAGCCAGGCGTTGTTGTGGTGGGCACCTGTAGTCCCAGCTACTAGGGAGGCTGAGGCAAGAGAATCACCTAAGCCCAGGAGTTGGAGGTTGCTGTGAGCTGAGATGCCACAGCACCCTACAGAGGGCGACAGAGTGAGACTCTGTCTCTGAAAAAATAAATAAAATAAATAACCAGGCACTGTGGCAGGCACCTGTAGTTCCAGGTACTTGGGAGGCTGAGGCAAGAGAATCACTTAAACCCAAGAGTTTGAGGTTGCTGTGAGCTGTGATGCCACAGCCCTCTACCGAGGGGAACATAGTGAGACTGTCTAAAAAAAGAAAAAAAAAAGTACACGCACACAGTTAGATAAAAAGGTAGAGAGATGGACAAGGAGTAATGTTTAATAGGGTGACTGTAGCTAACAACAACGTATCATAGATGTCAAAATAGCTAGAAGAGAGGACTTGAAATGTTCCTAACCCTTAGAAATGATGAGCACTCAGGGTGATGGACACCCCAAATACCCTGACTTGATCATTACATATTTTATGCATTTAATAAAATGTCACATATATCCCATAAATATGTACAAATATTATTATGTATCCATTTTTAAAATGGCAGACCTCTGCACAAACCACAAAATACCACTGAAATAAATTAAATAAGAGCTAAATAGGCTCGGTGCCCATAGTATAGTGGTTACGGCACCAGCCACATACACCGAGGGTGGCAGGTTCAAACCCAGCCCGGGCCAGCTAAACAACTGCAACAAAAAATAGCCAGGCATTGTGGTGGGTGCCTGTAGTCCCAGCTACTAGGGAGGCTGAGGCAAGAGAATCGCTTAAGCCCAAGAGTTGGAGGTTGCTGTGAGCTGTGATGCCACAGCACTCTACCAAGGGCAATAAAGTGAGACTATGTCTCAAAAAAAAAAAAAAAAAAAGATGAGCTAAATAAATGCAGAAATATATCATGCCCAAGGACCAGAAAAGAACATTTTAAGTTATCAATTTCCTCCCTCCAATTTGATCTACAGATCCAACACAATCCCAACCAAAATTGCAGATGAATTTTTTTTTAGAATTTAACAAATAATTCTAAAATGTATATGAAAATGTAAAGGCCATAGAATAACCACAACAATCTCTCTCTCTCTTTAGAGAGAAGGACTTGCTCTGCTGCCCAGGCTAGTCTCAAATTCCTGGGCTGGAATATCCTCTTTGTATCCACTTCTCAGAGTGCTGGGATTATAGACAGAGCCACCACACCCATCCCAAAACAATCTTGCAAAACACAAAGATGGAGGACTCACACCATATCACAAAGATCCATTAGCAAAATCCATATATAAGACAAATTATATATTCAGGCCAGACATAGTATCTCAGACCAGCCTGAGCAAGAACAAGACCTGTCTCTACCAAAAATAGAAAAAATTAGCCCCGCGTAAGGGAATACCTATAGTCCCAACAGGAGAATTACTTGAGCCCGGGAGTTTGAGTTTGCAGTTAGCTAGGGTGAGACCACAGAACTCTAGCCTGGGCAACAAAGTGAGACTCTGTCACCAAAAACAAAAGGGGGGGACATGGTGGCTCATAGCACTCTGGGAGGCTGAGAATGTAGGATCACTTGAAGTCTAGAGTTCAAGACTAGCCTGAGCAAGAGTAATGCCCCATCTCTACTAAAAAGATAGAAAAAATTAGTTGGGTGTGGTGGCAGGCCACCTGTAGTCCAAAATGAGAACTTGATCTACTTTCATTACCTATTTTGTAAGAATTCTAAACTAAACGGATTACAGCCACCAAAACATTCATCTCACTTCCTATTTCAGAATTCCTTTCTCTTCCTGTCTCTATATTACAAAGACATTTCCCACCAAAGGTTACCCCCCCACACACACACACACACACGGCCTATCTGAACATTCCATCTTATCACATCTTTTCTAATTCTTTCCAGCATTCAGATGACTAACTTGTATTTTACCTCCCTTTAATTAGTTAAAATACAGCGGTGTTTTCCAAACTAAAATCCAACAACTTTCATAGATTTTTTTTTTAAGTCCTTTTGCAGAAGTAGAAGCAGTTGTGCTTTATTAACCATCTCCATATATGGTTAGGTGGTTAAGGTAACAGGAGGAACAAAGATGTTGATTTTAGCAATGACGGAACACAGAAGTGGAGGTGCTGGAAGGAAATGTTCTCAGGAGACACAGAATAAGAGCTCACAGCATGAGACCCACTAGTGGTGTCCTGGTGGCCAAAGGTGCAGGCATAATCAATTGAATAAGCATCTAGTATAAATTGCTTTATTTTTTTCCTCCCTCTTTTATTTTTTTTTTTTTTTGAGACAGAGTTTCACTCTGTAGCCCTGTGTAGAGTGCCATTGGCATCATTAATCATAGCTCACAACAACCTCAAACTCCTAGGCTCAAGTGATCCTCCTGCCTCAGCCTCCTGAGTAGCTGGCACTACAGTGCCCACCACAATGCCTGGCTAGTTTTCCTATTTTTTTAGTAGAGAGGGTCTCACTCTTGCTCAGGCTGGTCTTGAACTCCTGATCTTAAGCAATCTAACATCTCTGCCTCCCAGAGTGCTAGGGATTACAGGCATGAGACACTGCTCTGGGCCATAAACTGTTTTCCAAATAAGAAATAAGTATACATTGGTCTGAAAAATACCAGTTAGTCAACAAATGAGAAAAATAATAGTCTGAGCTTCTTTAACATTTTTTAAATTTGTAATTTTCAAGGACTTGAAGAATTTTAAGGGGCAATCTCTATTGTCCACTTTTTATTAGATTATTTAAACCAATACATGTAAAGCAGGTATTTAAAGGCATTAGTAAACAAAATCAGAAAAAGAAGGAAAAGACCAGTTTTGCCGTTAAGCTACTAAAACTATTTATTCGATTCCATTTTTTCTTCTTATTCTAAAAATTTTACTAAGAAAATATCTCCTACTACCACTCTCTCCTAAGGAAAATGTGTTATGGCTGGCCAGGATCCTAGAGTGTGTATATTAATCTAGGTCCAAAACTGATCTCGTTATATGCCAATGTGAGCTGAGAGTGCCAATAAAATGAGTAATTGACAGGAAAAAAGGCAATGAGGCCAAGTGAAGTGGGAGCCACCTTCCAGACATTAGTGGATCTGCATAACCAGGGAAAGTTTTATGACTAGGAGAAAAAGATTTGTTTGAAGGAAATAGAAACCAGAAAACAGACAATTTCAGTAAGAATGAGGTCAGAGAAGACTTAATGAGCAAGACATTAATTGATTAGGAAAATCTAGAAAGTAAGGGACCTCCAACAAAACATGAGTTGTGTCCATGTACAGAACTGGGAGACCAAGGAAATGCTACCATGCACCAATTAAGAATATCTACTATCAGGGCGGCACCTGTGGCTCAGTGGGTAGGGTGCCAGCCCCATGTACCGAGGGTAGACGGTTCAAACCCGGCCCCAGCCAAACTGCAACCAAAAAAATAGCCGGGAGTTGTGGGCACCTGTAGTCCCAGCTACTCAGGAGGCTGGGGCAGGAGAATCACCTAAGCCCCAGGAGTTGGAGGTTGCTGTGAGCTGTGTGATACCATGACACTCTACCGAGGGTGATAAAGTGAGACTCTGTCTCTACAAAAAAAAAAAAAAAAAAAGAAAAGAATACGTATCTACTATTGGCTCGGAGCACATGCTCAGTGGCTAGGGCACCAGCCACATACACCAAGGCTGGGGGGTTCGAGCCCAGCCCCAGCCTGCTAAACAATGATGACAACTGCAACAAAAAATAGCTGGGAGTTGTGGCAGGCACCTGTAGTCCCAGCTACTCAAGAGGCTGAGGCAAAAGAATCGCTTAAGCCCAAGAGTTTGAGGTTGCTGTGAGCTGTGACATCACAGCACTCTACTGAGGGTGACACAGTGATACTCTGTCTCAAAAATAAGTAAATAAAAAAGGAATATCTACTATCACGTAGATTAAGGACAATAATAAGTGAGTCATTGATTTAATGGCTAGATTATGAGTAGAAAAGTTAAAGAGAAGAGCTTAATTTTTAAAAGTATTATGCTGAGTTAAATAGTGCTAAGTGATGAAATTCTGATTTATCTAATAACCTTTCCATAGATGATTTCCTTCCCTGAGGTCCACTCATTTTTGTTAGGTAAGGTTTGCACCCTAACATAGTAACTAATTCTACCTTAAACCACAGCCATACCCTATGAGAAGTAAAAAACAAAAGCTGAGCTAACTGCCCTCTGTCCCCCATTCCTCTCTCCTACTTTACCCTGTCTCATCCTATTCTTTTGCTGGCAATGGACTGAAGGATGGAAATGGAAGTTATCGCTCAGTGAAAGCTGGGAAACTTTCTGTTTGGCCCAATCAAAGTTTATTTTAACACACTTACCAACATCTCCAAAAACATACAGGCCCCTTGGAGGTTTGCTCCTTGAAAAAAGCTGCAAATTAAGAATAAATTATAAATCTCTATCATGCAAATAATTTAAATATACTCATATACAGAGTGTTCCTAACCATGCTGTAGACAGGACTGAGAGGGATATTATACATATTATACACAGTACAGTAATGAAGATAATACCCACACCAAGTCACAATAGTGAAGAGGTCAGGACAGTGGGAATATTAATATCTTAACTTCTGCAGTGGCATGAAAGGAAGGGAACAGGTAACAGACAACAGATGAAACTCAAATGAAATACCGGGGAAGGCTCGGCGCCTGTGGCTCAAGTGGCTAAGGCACCAGCCACATACACCTAAGGTGACAGGTTCAAATCCAGCCCGGGCCCGCCAAACAACAATGATGGCTGCAACCAAAAAATAGCTGGGCGTTGTGGCAGGCGCCTGTGGTCCCAGCTACTGGGGAGGCTGAGGCAGGAGATTCACTTGAGCCCAGGAGTTGGAGGTTGCTGTGAGCGTGTTGACATCGCCCTCTCGCCCGGGGTATAGCTTGAGGCTCTGTCTCAAAAAAAAAAAAAAAAAGAAATACCAGGGAAAATGATTTCCGATCTAATCCATTCATCAAGAATGAAAACAGAGGGCAGTGCCTGTGGCTCAAAGGAGTAGGGCACTGGCCCCATATACTGGAGGTGGCAGGTTCAAACCCAGCCCTGGCCAAAAACTGCAAAAAAAAAAAAAGTGAAAACAGAAAATTGACTTTTCATACATATGAGGTCTCAGAAACTCCCACAAAGAAAGAGGAACATCATAGGCTCCAGGAATTACAGAGGGTCCATGGGAGGGACATGCACCGGGGTGAGAACACAGGCTGTCCCCAGACCACAGCAGCAGCACTGCGGGTCAAGAAAGCAGTCAGGGCCAGTGCAGTGGCTCATGCTGTAATCCCAGCCCTCTGGGAGGCTGAGGCAGGCGGATCCCCTGAGCTCAGTGGTTGGAGACCAGCCTGAGCAAAAGTGCAACCCCGGCTCTACTAAAAATAGAAAAAACATTAGCTGGGCTGGGTGGCAGCTGCCTATAGTTACAGCTAATAGGAAGGCTGAGACAGGAGGATGGTTTGAGCTCAGGAGGTTGGGGTTAAGATATGGTGACACCACTGCATGCTACCTGGGGCACAGAGCAAGACTCTTGTCTCTCTCACACACACACCGTACACACACACACACACACACACGCATGCACGCAGCAGGTCTAGACCAAAACTGGAAAATGAAGGGTTCTAGGGACAAAGCAAAATGGAACTTGTCTTTACCTAAGATTATTATCAACCATCTCGAATTTTGTTACAATCAGAAGAAAAACTTTCAAACTCTGTGGAAGTTCCTAGATACTTGTGTAAAAACCAAGGTAAGCCAGGGCAGGGTGAAATCAGAGAGGGTAAAAGCAGAAAACAGCAAACATTGTGTCGCTTAGCACCAACTAGAGAGGTAAATAATTTGGCAGAGAACATTCTCAAAAGCTAGATTTCAGAATCTAGTCTATAATGCTTTGGACTCTATTTTATAATCTCTGGAGTCATTCTGACCTGCCTCAGAAACCTCTCTTGCTTTCCTGTTCCTCTGGGCTTTCTTCATGCTCTAAATTCAGCTCTAATTCCAGCATATGCCTTTTAGACCTTTAGGCCAGGCAAAAAAGAATCTCCTCTGCTTTGATTCTGCCATCTGGATGGTTTCCCTGTGTTTCTCAGCATGTTAACTCTCCATCTATTCTTAAATCTCAACCGAAAACAGATTTCCACTCCTGCCAAAATCTCTTAATTTTTCTTTCTTTTTTTTTTTTTTTAATGAACCATCATCATGCACTGTTTATTCTATTTTCAACTTCTCAGAAAAAGCATTATGTCCTTAAACAATTTTAGAACAGCTTCAAATTGGAAAACATGCATAGAACTTAATAATCTCCAAGTATATTCTATATACGAGGAATCTTTTGAAAGCAACATTCTGTATTGGGTAACTGGAAATGTCATAGCAATCCATAATTCTTTGCAACACATTTTTTTTTTTTGAGACGGAGCCTCAAGCTATTCCCCTGGGTAGAGTGCCATGGCATCACGCTCACAGCAACCTCCAACTCCTGGGCTCAAGCGAGTCTCCTGCCTCAGCCTCCCAAGTAGCTGGGACTACAGGCGTCTGCTACAACACCCAGCTAGTTTTTGGTTGCAGCCATCATTGTTGTTTGGCGGGCCCAGGCTGAGGAATCGAACCCGCCACCTTAGTTGTATGTGGCTGGCGCCTTAGCCGCTTGAGCCACAGGCACCGAGCCTGCAACACATTTTGTAGGAATGGCTTATGGCCTACTCTAATACTTTCCACATGATACAATTACACTATGCTGAATAAACAAAGTTCAGGCAAAAAAAAGAATCAAGACACAGAAAAAGATGGCAAAGATAGAATTCACTGCTGCTTTAAAAAAGGAGCACTCAAAGTCCTATCTCCTGTTTTTCCCACTCAACTCAATCTATTTTAGAAAGGGCACTTTGGCAAATATTATATTGTATATTACATATATAATTTATGTTACGTTGTATTATGTTTTATAATAATCTTTACAGGACCATCCAACCTTTTTTTTTTCTTTTTTCTCTGCTACACATTGGAAGACAAGCATTGTCTTGGGCCACACATTAAATACACAAACACTAATGAAAGCTGATTAGCAAAAAAAGGTCCATGCATACTTTTTTTTTTTTTTTTTGAGACAGAGCCTCAAGCTGTCACCCTGGGTAGAGTGCTGTGGCATCACAGCTTAAAGCAACCTCCAACTCCTAGGCTCCAGCGATTCTCCTGCCTCTGCCTCCCAAGTAGCTGGGACTACAGGCACCAGCCACAGTGTCCGGCTGTTTTTTGGTTGCAGCTGTTATCATTGTTTGGAGGGCCTGGGCTGGATTTGAACCTGCCAGCTCAGGTGTATGTGGCTGGCACCTTAGCCGCTTGAGCCACAGGCGCCAAGCCATGCATACTTTTTTCATGATAGCCAATGCTACAGATAAGCAAAAAAAAAGTCTTTGCAAAACCAGCATGAGCCACAGGTTGGACACCCCTGATTTAGAAGATGATAAAGTGCCAAAGGAAAGGATCCCCAAACATCCAAGATCACGAATGCCGAGTAAGATATGAATACTGTTTACAAGAAACATTTAAATCTAAATAAATTGAAAGGCTCAGTGCCTGTAGCTCAAGTGGTTAAGGCACCAGCCACATGCACCAGAGCTGGTGGGTTTGAATCCGACCTGGGCCTGCCAAAACAACAATGACAACCACAACCAAAAAATAGCCAGGCATTGTGGCAGGCGCCTGTAGTCCCAGCTACTTGGGAGGCTGAGGCAAGAGAATTGCTTAAGCCCAGGAGTTGGAGGTTGTTATGAGCTGTGATGTCATAGCACTCTACCCAGGGGTAGCAGTTTGAGGCTCTGCTGCAAAAAATAAAAAATAAATTAAAAATCAAAATGGATACCCTTATAACTATAAATATTAGACATAACCTATTTTTTTTTGCTTTGAGACAGAGTTTCACTTTGTCAGCCCCAGTAGAATGCCATGGTGTCAAAGCTCACAGCAACTTCAGATTCCTGGACTCAAACCATTCTCTTGCCTCAGCCCCCCATGTAGCTGAGACCACAGGCGCCTGCCATAACACATCGCTATTTTTTTTAGAGTCAGGGTCTTGCTTTTGCTCAGGCTGGTCTAGAACTTGTGAACTCAGGCAATCTGCCTGCCTCAACCTCCCAGAGTGCTGTGATTACAGGTGTGAGCCACCTCACCTGGCCCAGCATAGTCTATCTAAATAATATTATACACTCCCAAGTATTTTCATGTGGGAGACAAGTTAATTTTCTTCTAATGAAATTTATTTTCCAATAATTATTGAAATTAAAGGTTGTCTCTATCTTAAGGGAAAAATCAGATGACCAAATGTAGAACAGTAAGATTAATTGGGCTCGGCGCCTGTGGCTAAGGCATCAGCCACATACACCCAAGGTGGCGGGTTTGAATTCAGCCCAGGCCCGCCAAACAACAATGACGGCTGCAACCAAAAAATAGCTGGGTGTTGTGGTGGGCACCTGTGTTCCCAGCTACTTCGGAGGCTGAGGCAGGAGACTCGCTTGACCCCATGAGTTGGAGGTTGCTGTGAGCTTTGATGCCACGGCACTCTACCCAGGGCAACAGCTTGAGGCTCCTGTCTAAAAAAAAAAAGAAAAAAAAAAGATTAATTGGAGGACTATAAAACAGATCCTAAAGTAGTTTTTTTCATTCTTTATTAATAGCAGCAATTTCAGTAATAGTTAAATCCACACAATTTTCTTCAAAATGACTGTCACTAACTCAGAATTATTTGCATACTCTTAATCTATATTTTTTCAAAACTTACCCGATTTGGGGGTTCTATTAAATTACTCTCCTTTGCTTGTTTTTGTTTTGTTTTATAGGAAATATATTTATTATTGATCATCTCAACTCAAAAAATACTCATTCTTTATCAGGGCTGTTCATCATATTCTACCTCTTTGCAAATATTATATACATCCAAATTATAAGCAATTTTGTTTAATAATAACACAGCAACTTCTGCATAGTAAGCAATCTTTTCTCCACATTTTAATTTCTGATAATTTGTTCTTATGGCTCAGAAATCACGGTAGCTAGAACCCTGACCATGAACTCCACCCTGGCATTGCTCCTCAGTGCTGGTCATTCTCTGTGTTCACCTCCCGGTTGCTCACTCATGCTCCTTTTCTATGCCAGGAGACTGACCTGACCTGGCCTGGCTGGCTTAGCCTGGGGGAGGTGCTACTTGCAGGAAACAAAAGAGAGGGAATAGAGAGGGATCCCGTCTTTCTCCTCTGCCCACTCCCTGCTCCAGAGCTGTGTCTCAGCAGAGCTGCACCACACCAGGACCATTAGGCAGACTGTCCCTCAGGCCACAGCTCCAGCTCTCACCAGACTCCTCCTGCACTCCTCCATCCCTTGTTCTCTGT